CTATGGCTGTGACCTCCTTTCCACGCAGTGCTTCATTCTCTCCCCTACAGAGCTGTTTCCTCTCTGAGCTCCCTTTCCATTGGACTCTTTAACCCCCTTCCTTTTTGTTCTCTGTTCGAACTTCTCACGATGGAAGGCGAACTGCTTGGTTACCTCCCCTCTCGTCTGTTCCAGCACAGAGTCGTCCTTGCTCGCCCTGTTACAATTAAGCCTTTTTTTTTTTTTTGCAGCTGCGTGGGATGTTCCTGCCGGCTCGCCCTCGTGTGTCCTCTAGGACGTTCACTGATGTGTCCCCCAGGACACTCAAGCTTCCCTTCACCTTTCTAGATCTCAACATGCTTTCAGAGCACAGCATGTCGGATAGAAACTTTTATTCCTATTTTCTTCTTTAATGTCTCCCAGGCTGGTGTTACTATAGATACATGTCTTTTTCTCTATTTCTAGCCCCAATCGATTCTTCTGTCAGGAATTAGTTGATCAAATATAGCTTTCCTCCCTGTGGTCTGATTCTTTTTTTTTTTTTGCAAGATTGTAAAGTTGACTGCATCGCTCTGGAATTTCCCTGTTGATGCATGGTCTGCTGCTTTTGTAACAACAGCACACAGATCTGGGAAGCCGAAACCCTCTGGAGCACACAGTGAGGTGTTCCTTAGACCCACGCAGCTGTCCCCATCAATGTTCCGTCTCTGTCTTGGTGGCTGGTGGCACCAGACCTGCATTTATTTTCCCGAATTCCTGAAGTCCTAGCCATGAGAATTTCGTGATGTTCCTCTCTGCCAAATTTGGAGTCTGTGCCAGGTACCAGTGGGGGAACCTCTTCCTGGTCCTGGGGATAGGAAGAGGACAGAGACTCAGACACTGTAGCCTGGCCAGGGAGGGTAACCACACAATGTGAGATGAACCAGGGACTCCAACAGTTACTGGTGCCTTTGTGAGGACTGAAGGACTTGACTTTACCCATCTGGAATTTGGTTTTCTGGTAGAAATTCCCTGACAATGGACATCCTCAGAGCTGATGGTTTTTCATTGCTGGAGGAGACCTATTTTTCTCCTGAGTGTTCCTGGTTCTCATCTGTCATTTTCCTGGCAAAAGCCCACTGCTTTTCTCGGGGGCCTTCACCCTTTCCCTGCTCCTGGCCCATGGGGCTGGGCGGACATTTCCCTCAGCGGGATCAAGATGCAAATATACAGCTTGTTGAGCCAGAGCGCAGTACCCCCTCCAGCCACTGTGACTGTTTCAGGGACAGGCAGAGACAATAAGAGATGCACGTAGAGGAACTTTGCTGATCTTGGAAGAAAGGCCCTCATTCTCCTGCTTGATATCTGACACTATGAACCTAACATTGCTGGCAGCTTCTTTGTCACCAAAATACAATAAATACCCAACCATACCATACTGTACCACACTACACTACACTATAGCTTCCCCTACCCTACCCCACAATACCATACAATACACTAGCCATATCTGTCGCAGACTGAGAGTTTGTCCCCGTACCATCAATTCGTATGTTGAGATCCTCAGTATGATGCTATCAGAGGTAGGGATTTTGGATGGTAATTAGGTTTAGATGAGGCTTTGGGGGAAGAGTCCCAGAAAAGGATGATAAGCAGAAGGAAGCAGCAAACTTCTTCCTTTGGACATATCAGAAGTCACGTGTGCATACAGTGTGGTGGCCACTTAGAAGCTAAGGGAAGAGAGTTGTGATGTGAAATGTGAAAAGTAAATTTCTATTGTTTAAACCTCCCAGTCTGTGGTATTTTGTGTGGTCATCAAGCTAAGACAGTGTCTGAGAAGGAAAAGAACACAGAAGGAGGAGGGAACTAGAGAGAGAGCAAATGGACTCTGATAACATCAGCCATGCCTGAAGCCATTGGACTTTTCAGAGGCAGAATCTACCTTCATGTTATTTTGCTTTAATTTTACCTAGCTTGAATTACCTTTTTCTCTCCTTTTTTAATACACCAATTTTCATATTAAATTGAAGCCTGGAAATATCCAACTTTCAATAAATGTTCTTGAATAAATCGATCCACCTTTCAGGCCCCAGAGAGACACAGCATTATAATACGGGTTTTCCCTTCCCATGTGTGGTGAGAGAATCCACTTTCCAGCATATTGCACCCAACGCAGAAGTGGGTCATTTTGAGTTCTACACATGTGTGGTCCTTGCCATCATGGTCTTGCCCATCTTGGCCTCGACTCTCTAAGGGGCAGAATAGCTTTGCCCAGAATTAGCTCAGGAGTGCTGCGCGCTCACACCTCCCTCACTGGTCCAGGGTGAGAGGATGGCCCAGGAGAATGGTTTTGGTTGTTTGATTAGTTGTTGATACAGAGGATTAAAGCCAGGGCCTTTCACTGAGCTACATCCCCAGCCCCCCACTCTTTGTTACTTCATATTTTGAGACAGAGTCTCACTAAGCTGCTGAATTGTCCAGGTTAGGCTCGAACCTGGGATCCTCTGGCCTCATCCTCCCAGAATACAGCTAGATGCTGGCATATCTGTAGTTGCCACTGCTGTCCAAGCCTCACCATTCTCCCTGAGATCATTGCAAAGCCTCTTCACTGAGCTCCTGCTCTGTACAGGTCCCCCACTGTCCACTTCCACGTGACAGCTGGAGCAGCCCTGTAGAAACCTTAAAGCAGGCCATGTCACCTCGGCTCAATGCTCTCATGGCACCCATCACAGTCAGGGGCCATAGGACATGTGCTCTTCTTCCACACCCCACACAAGCTGCCTTTCCATGTCTCCCCTGGCCTCTTCCTCCTCCCCTGACTGCTTTCCTACCCTTCCAGCCATACTAGCCACCTGCTACTGTGTGCTGAGGCTGTGTACTCACTGTTCCTTGGCCAGAAGTAAGCTTTCTGCTGATGGCTGAGGGCCGGTCTCACTTCTTTCCAAAACTCTTTGACCTCCTCTTGCATTTCCTGTCCTGCCTCAAGCTTTATCCCCTTCCTTCCTGTCACACATGCACCGGTCCTTCCTGTCACACATACATTGTCTGTTCTTTGCTACCTCCTAGAATGTATTCCTAGAGGGACACCTTTTGTTCACTGCTGAGACCCCAAGACCTAGAAAGTGCTGGCACCAGGGATGTGCTCAAGGGAGCTTTACTGAATAAATAAGAAACTGGAGAGAAACAAATTCAAACAAGGCATCTTGTTCACTTCTCAGATTAGCAGACATGATAAAGTTCATCAGCATCTATAAATAAGATATCAGAAATGCTTTTTAAAGCCGGGCTTGTGTGCAGATATGTGTGCTATAGTCACATAGTGATTTTGGTCTATATCTACTGACACAAAACAACCCAGCCTCAACATACACACCACCAAAGATGCAATCACACACATAGAACGATACAACACACATGAAATGATGTCTTCTCTGTCTCATCCTAAGATTTGCAGATAGGATTAGGTGAGAAAATAAAGAGGTAGAGTGATCTGTATGGTCTGACTGGTCCCTGTAACAACAGATGAATACACACTCTAATTTCTGATTATGTTTCACACTCTTGGAATGAGAGGTAGGAGGTGCAGACCCCAGCTTGTTGCCATTTGAACCAGAGTGAGTTGGAATAGGGTGAAAGAGGAAGAAGAATAAGTCTGTGTACCTATTACTAGATTGCAATAGCAAGTAAACATACGTCAGATATGTCCACATCAGGGTGGTGCAAGTAAATGAAACTCACATTCTGTACTGGCTGGAGTGGGAATCAAGGCAGTCTTTGAAGAATGAAGTAGCAGGACTGTGCTTGGTAATAGTGAAAGTGTGCTCACCCTCCTTATCATGTTTCCCCTTCTTCATTAGTCACCTCTGCAGAGTACCAGCCAGAACAGACTGCCAGGGCTGCAAAGGATGGCTGGCCAGGGTCGTGCAGCAAGCAAAGTGTTAGGTGCAATTGAGAAAACCTGGAAATCACTTAAGTGCACCTCGTGTGGGAATGAGGAGATAAGAGGTGACATCATCTGTCAAATGAGATGCTTTATAGTTATTAAAGGCATGGGCCAGCCCTCATGAGCTAAAGAGGATGCTGGACAGAAAGGCAAATCTTAGGATGAGACAGAGAAGACATCATTTCTTGTGTGTTGTATCGTGCCATGTGTGTGATTGCATCTTTGGTGGTGTGTATGTTGAGGCTGTGTTGTTTTGTGAATGTGCTATATATTCCCATTCATCACAGTTCCACTTAGAATTACATTACAGTTACCATGGACATAGAGACTGCAATCTTGTTTTTTAACTCAAGCTGGTACTTTCTTCTACCACCTTGTCTCTCCTCCTTCTTGGTACATGAGACCACACCATTCCAGACTTTGAGGATACAAGCTATTAGCTCACAAACTCAATGAATAAGCCCAGTTAAAAGGTAGAGGCAGCTGGAAACTTGTCAGACAAATGGTTTTCCTGGGGAGCACACAAGAGCCAGCTGATGCCCAACAACTGTGATTTGGAAGGAAGAGGGCTATGAGGAAAGCCTAAGGTTGGCTTGTCCAGCAACAAAAGATAATCGTTTCTTGTACTGTGCCTGTAGCATAGCAGCAAACCCCTACCAATGCATGCCTACATTCAACTCACTTTGTATATTGTTAAATTAATTCCTTTATTTTGTTTCCTAATAAGAGGAAGCCCTCTTTTTAAGCCAGCAGCTGCAATGTTAATATGTACCATCCCGTCTTTTAACATGGAGAGTTATTAAGCATCCAAAGCATAGAAAGGAAAGATAACTCATACAACTCTGGGTTCTGAGACTTAGGCCCAGCAGGCCTGGGAAAGGCCTTCAAAGAGGAGGAACAGAGAGAAGCTAAGATCCTGGGTAAGCCCTGCTGCCACCAGTAGTCAAGAAAGGGCCTCCCCCTCTTACCCAGGTGGAGGGGCAACTGTATTTTGAGCCCCATTACTCCCTCCCACTGCTTTAGAGTGAGTACGAAAAGACAGAAGTAGTCTGTGGTTGGCGTGCTTCGGACCAGAGCTGCCACAGTCATGGCCACTTACCTGAGACCAGAACACGTGCTGAGACTGACCATCGAACCATCATATCCTCGCACATGTCCGTGGTAGTAACAATGACCCTAAAGAGAGAGGACTGCTTTAGTAATAATATCTTCTTGCCCACGTAAAATAGGACAATTGTTCTTAATTCTTTTCATTTGTTGTTAGCCATAGAATTTCCTTTTAACGTGAAATATTGCATGCACAGCCTTAAAAGTTAATGTTGAGCCTAATGTGACCTAGCCAGGATCTATGGTCAGAGAATCTGATTCGCTCAGCGATCATCAGTAAGATTTCAAAATGCATCAGTTCCATTCCCGCCTCTCCGACATCCACCAGGAAAGCCCTGATGCAGAGTGCTTTACAAAATCCAGCAGCAGAACGAATAATGTTGACATCGCCATTTTACCCTCGTGTGCACTGTCTTTGGTACTGAGAGGAGGAACTGTAAGGGGTATTTAAGCACACTGGGAAATGTAATAAAATGAGGCCTGAATCTATGGTGTATGGAAACATAAAAAGCAGATGAGAGGAAGGGAGAGAGGATAGAAAGAGGGGACCTCACTGGATTACCAATAGAGAGTTGAAGCCTGCCTCAGCAGGAGGGCAAAACAGGAAGGTCTTCTAAATCAAAGACAAAAACTCCTATGTGACATGCCTGCAACCTTCTAATCTTTAATAATGTCACTGCTTGCCAAAAGAAACAACAGCACAATGCTGCCTTAGTGAGGATGGACATCTGTCCAGACTCAAGGTTAATTTTATGTTGAACAGAGGTTGTGCTGAGGGCCCAGTTAAGTAACTGACAGGAAATGGCTGAGCACACACAGCATGCCTCATTCAGGTCCTCTGAATGCCAGGTGCCTTCATGGTCCCCTACAGAGATGAATAAACTTAAATTTATGAAAGTCAGAAGCTCTGAAAAACAAAAAAATGTTCTAAACGAGGTTAAAAGACATTTCCCATGTAACAGGTAAAATATTAATACCTTATATATAAAGAGCTTCTGAAGTCAATAAGAAAATAGTCTAACAAAATAACAAACATCTATCGTATGGACACACTGCATTTTGCTTATCATTCCTCATTTGGTGGGTACATGCGTTACTTTTACTTTTGGCTATTATGAGTCATGCTGTTAGGAACGTTTGAATACAATATTTTGAGGGAGCATATGTTTTCAATTCTCTTGGATACACACTACAAGTAGGTATATGTACACATACCTACTAGCGGGATTGTTGGGTCTTATGGAAACTCTGTAACTCTCTGAAATACTGCCTGTTTTCCCTTTTCCCACGCAGATGAATCACTGAATAGTCTCACAAGCAATGTATGAGGGATCAAACTTCTCCACATCCTCACCAATTCTTGTTACTGTTTATCCTTTAAATTACAGATATCCTAAGGAATGTGAAGTGCAAGCTAGATGTGGGCTGGATTTCCATCTCCACGATCACCGACGATGATGCAGAACATTTCACGCTATTTGAAGATATATCTATTCAAGTGATTTGCTTATTTTTAATTGGGTTGTTTATTGTTAAATTGGAAGAGTCTGTCATATATTCCTGAATATGAATCCCTTATTAGATATGTGACTTAAATATTTTCTCTGATTTTGTGGTTACATTTTAATTTTACCGGTTGTGTATTTTGAAGCACGAAGATTTTAATTTTAAGAAGATCCAAGTTGTTTTTTCTTTGGTTGCTTATGCTTTGGGGGGGGGGCATATGTAAGAAACCCTTAGCTAAGGTCATGAAGATTTAAACCTGTTTTCTTTTAAGAGTTTTATAGGTTGAGCTCTGCTATTAAGATCTATAATACATTTTGGATTATGGTTTGAAGGAGTACAGTTTCATTCTTCTGCATATGGACATCAAATTATCCCAGAACCGTTCACTGAAAAGACTCTTCTTTCCCCCATTTAATTTTCTTTTGAGCAGGTTGGAAACACTGTTGTTTTTTCAAAGGTTTATGAACTACCATTGCCTGTTTTCTCTTTCAGATGGATTTTAGAATCAATTTCTAAGCTCTGTAATAGTCCACTAGGATTTTTAGCTTGGGCTATGCTGAAGGTATGGATCAACTGGGAAGAAGTATTTTCACAATGTAGAGTTAGTTATCTTACTGATGTATATACTAGGTCTCTTTTTTTAATAACGTCATTTTTATTTTCTTCAATCAAGTTTAATATTTTTTACACATAGCCATTGGAAAGCATTTTGAAGCTTTATGTAAGTATTATACAGCTTTGAGTATATCTTGAATTGTATCTTCTATTATGTTGTATATATGGCTATTCTTAATGTAAAGGAAAGCTTTTGGTTTTGTTAAATTGATCTCATAGCAGATGTCTTGCTGGATCACCTTATCAATTTAATAGTTTGTGGCTTATCTTGGATTATCTATGTTGCTGATCATTGCAATTGCAAACGAAGTCTTGCGGGCTCCTTTTTGGGCCCTCACCAACATACTTGAGTGGGATGGCTGGTGTCCAGGGGCTAATGCAGTAGAGGGAATTGCCTGTAGGGAGAGCATGTTCGCAGGGCAGGAGGCAGTAGAAAGAAGGTAGCAGCTCAGGCTTGGGACTTAGTTTTGTTTGGCTAAGGGATTTAGGCACAGGAGTGTGACACTCACACCCCCCTCCCCCAAGGCAGATGCTTAGGAGGTGTTGCCTGAGGGGATTGGGCAGCTGCCACATCTGACACTCACCCACCAAGCCATCAGGGAGGGCGGCTCCTGTTGCCAGTGGGCTTCCTTTATATCTATGTGAAATGGATTTTGGATAGCTCCACTGTCTCCTCTGTCTCTCTGACTCTTAGGTACTTAGGAGAGGCTCAGTGATGATAATTCCCTTGCAGCAGAGGGGATCACCTAATTGGATTGTAATGCCCCAAGGGATCAGAAGGATCCTTGTCCCATCACACGCTCTGTGTACAGGGTGCGGGATTGCAGTGCCAGTTGCTGTTGGAGTATAAACTGCCTGGGGTGACAGGAATGGCTAGGTTTCAACTGCTGCTGGTCTTTGGGGTCCACCCTAGAATTTCCCCCATTTTAGGGAAATATGAAATGCTGCTATAGGCAGCTAAACATAAGTTAAGAAATTAAAAACCAAATAATGACAATAATCTTAATGAGCAATATTTAGAACTTCAAACTCATTTATACTCGGTTTCTATTTTAATAGATTATTTATCAGATGTATTTTCAAATTCAATATAAAAAAATGTAAGCTTATTAAAGGACGAGCTGAGAACAAATTAGTATATTAATTTCCAGTTGAACAACTTGGTTAAATATTGTTTACAAAAGGGGCATTGGAGTTTAGCTCTTTGAAACTCTTCTTTAAAATAAACAATTCCACCCCTCCTAGTTAATCATCATAAATTAATGATATATTTCTGAACTCTGACACGACCTTTGACTCATCTTCAGATGACTGATGAACAAGCCCATTGCTCACTCCCAACAGGGCGTAACTTCTTGGATTGCTAAGTATAATTGCTAGACCTCCAAACAGCAGCTTCTCCAGGACAATTCCAACTTTGGGAAATTTATTTTTTTTTTACCGTGACTCACAAAACATGGGAACAAATGTGATTTGGTTTTTGTAAATTTCACAGCTCAGAAAGACAAGGTGGCTACACCATGGTATGTCACGTGGCTGGGGAATTTTATTGCGGGAGTGAGGGGGAGACATTTTCTGCCCCTGGTTAGGGGACCGACCCTCTGAGGCAGGCAGCACCATGGTCAGGGGCCAGCAGAGTCTGCCTGGATGTCCATAGGTGTGTGTGGGCCTGTGTCCTTGGCCTGTCTCCACACAGGCCTTGTGACTCATGAATTCTTGGCCTATTATGTCTGGATGTGCCGCACCAGTAGCAGGCACAGCAGGCAGCCAAGGCACCAGAGAAAGTCTTACACCCCAGGGACCCTGTTCCTGCTGCTCACTACAGCTGACTCGCTGGGGAGATGTGGCCACTGCTGTCTGCATGCTCCTTCCCAGACTGCATCTATCTCCTCTCTCGGATTATCCCAAAGGCATCAAATGGTGCAGTCACTTTTTCTCGTGCTCGTGTCCCAAAGACAGAACTGGATAAGACGTCTTCCAGGACAGTCACCTTTGCCTCATTCTGCTGATCAAATACATTTTATTTCTACCAATGAAACCTAACACAGAAAAAAGTCTCAAACAGGCATAACCACAAAATTACATCTTTCCCTTTACAAAACCTCTAACCATATATTTTATATACTTATTATTTAACTTAATGCATTTCTCTACTCCAGTAAAATATATTTTCCTTCTGTTTAATACTATCAATCAAATATAATGGTGGGTGAGAGGAAGATAGAATAAGAACTCTTGAACTTGAAAATTAGTAGCCCTCAAACTCTGCCCTGCGGGAAGTCAAATCAAACTTCTGTTACTCAACTCCCAGTGGACTAGAAAGAAAGGAATTTTATATGCTAAAGTAGTAACAAAAATGGCCCAACCTTGTGATTAAAAGGACTGCTAGCAGACAAGTTCTATGAGTGGGAAAAGATTCTGAATGCTTTTTTTCTTGGGAATTCAGAATGCCCCTACTACCCCTTGCCACAGGCACATAGTAAACTACTTTGATTCAGTGCTTAAATCACAAAATGTTGTAGCTGTAAGGAAGCTGGAGGCCTTCTAAGGCCAACTTTGTCCTTCTAGCTAGAGTCTTCCTTGAACAGAGGTAGAAACTGAGGCGCTTCTGGCTAAGAAGCCATCAAAAGTCACAGAGGTGACATACCAGGATCAGGACTCTGGACTCTAGGCGAGATAGTTTTCTCCCATACATTGGTGTTGGGAACTTGTAGTTTTTCCTCTTCTATAAAATGAAAAGCCTATGCCTAAAATGCACACTTGCATGGAATGCTGTCTTGAGTATAGCAAAGCCTCCTTATAATATCAATCATGGGATCACAGGAAAGTGAAGTCATCTCTTAAACTCTGAGAGAAGTCTGCAGACAAGGGTAGGAGGGAGTGTGTGTGAATCCCTGTGTGCCAGCCTGCAGGCCAAAATCACTGTGCTCAGGCCTTTGGTCCCTGCA